CCAGTCTGTAGAGTATGGCACAACATAGGTCGAGGACGCCGTTTTTCTGCCCAAAAGACTCCAAGGCACCATCTAAACGGACGGTGGACGCCGATGTTTGCAGCAAACGGACGGCGAGGACGCCAAAATTGATTGCCCATGGTCTGGAAGGTGTTGCGACTTGCGTGGGCGCCGGAAGTTTACCATGCACACCACCAGTACGCCAGGGAAGAAAGTTGCCACTATGTTTGCTAGAAATACGAAAGTGCATCTCTGACCGATGCCTGATGATAGCGCGTACTTGCACGATCAATGCGGCAGTTGCAAGATGATCGACATAGACACCCGCGCTTCACAATCAATGATCAACATAGACGCCCGCGCATTACGATCAATGCCCGACATGGATGCACGCATTTCACGATCGATGTGGCCGACACTCACGCTTCGCGAATGATGTGGCATGATTGAAATAGATGCACGCATTTTACGATCGATGTGGCCGATGCCCAATAATCGATACTGAAGCTCGTGCTTCGCGATCGATGAGGCATGATCGACACGGATGCATGCATTTTACGATCGATGTGGCCAATGCGCAATGATCGATTTTGACGCTTGTGCTTCGCGAACGATGCGGCTAGATTGACATGGATGCAAGCATTCTGCGATCGATGTGGCCGATGTCCAATGGTAAATTCCGATGCTCACGATTCGCGAACGATGCGGCATGATTAACATGAATGCAAGCATTCTACGATCGATGTGTCCAATGCCCAATAATCGATTCTGACGCTCACGCTTCGCGAACGATGCCCCATGATCAATTCCGACGTTCACGATTCGCGATTGCTGCGGCATGATTGACATATATGCACGCATTTTACGATCGACGTGGCCGATGCCTCATGATCAATTCAGATATTCAAGATTCAGGAATAATGTGCATGATTGACATGAATGCAAGCATTCTACGATCAATGTAACCAATGCCCAATGATCGATTCTGACGCTCACGCTTCGCGAACTATGCGGCATGATCGACCCGGATGCACGCATTTTACGATCAATGTGGCTGACTCTCGCTTCACGATCGATGCGGCATGATTGACATGGGTGCACGCATTTTACGATCGAAGTGGCCAATACCTCATAATCGATTACGACGTTCACAATTAGCGAACGATGCGGCTTGATTGACATGGATGCACCAATTTTACAATCGATGTGACCAATGCCCAATGATTGATTCCGATGCTCATGCTTCGCGAACGATGCAGCATGATTATGGCAGGGTGGCCCAGTGATTAAAGTTCTGAGTACCAGGATTGGCGTGGGTTCTATCCCAGCTCTGTGCGCCAGTCTCTGGTCAGAATCGGAAAGGAGGTCGAGCGGTTAAGCACAGCAGAATTGTAGCAGTGAGTTGCGAGTTCGAGACCACAAGATGCTGTGAATGTTCTGCGATGTTAAGAATCAGCAACAGGCCTACAGTCTAATGTCAATCATGCCGCATCGTTTGCGAATCGTGAATGTCGGAATCGATCATGGGCATCAGCCATATAGATCGTAAAATGCGTGCATCCATGTCAATCATGCTGCATTGTTTGCGAAGCGAGTGCGTCGGCAACATCAATCGTAAAATGCGTGCATCCATGTCAATCATGCCGCATCGTTCGTAAAGCGTGAACGTTGGAATCGATCATTGGGCATCGGCCATATCGATCGTAAATTGCGTGCATCCATGTCAATAATGCCGCATACACTGAGAGAAAAAGGCCCCCCGTTTTGAAACACTTGGGTGTTTCAAAACCTCTCGAGCTTGACGCGCATATACAGTATTTGTGCGGCAAGCGTCGCGTGGTCAGTGCGCCGAATGCTGTCAGAGGAGGTGGTTGTGTGGAGCCGCCGCTCATGAATGCCACGAATCTATACTGCTTACAATAGTAATGTTAACGAGCGACGTCTATACCATTCAATCGCACAAGAAGTTGATCATAAAATCGAAGATTTATTCTGGTAGTACCGTGCGCAAGACAAAACAAACACGGCAGCTCTATGTAGTTGTTGTCTCCGTAGCTGAGTGGACTAAGGCGCCTGCTCGCGAGCGCTTGGTTGCAGTCTTGGCAGAGGTTTGAATCTCGGCGGGCGACTCATAGTTTCTTCAACCAGAGTTCGATAGAGGTGAGAGCAAAGAGTGTAGTTTCACGCTGATTGTACATACCGATGTAAATTGTGTAATAAATAATATACGTTTAAAAATTACTTTTTAAAGACAACACTTCTAAAGAATCCAGTATCTCCAATCTTACAGATGTACAATGAATTTCTCATCTAATTTTCGAAAATTAAAAAAATTTATTTTTAAATTTTATTAATATATGTAAATTTTTTAATATATAATTTTTTTCAAAATTATTCTGTTAATTGATTCATGCATTGCCTCTGACTTCACACCAGTGTGCAAAATTTCAAATCAATTAGACAGGCAAAAGTGTGTCAAATATCAGTTATAAAATTTGTAGCTGACAAATTATTTTTTCAATTTTTTTAATATTGAAAAAAAAATTAAATTCTAAAAATAATTTATTTTACATTTGATTCATGCATTGTCTCCAACTTTACACAAGTGTGCAAAATTTCAGATCGATAGGATAAGTAGAAGTGTATTAAATTTTGATTACAAGATTTGTAGCAGACAGACAGACAGACAGACAAACAAGAAGTGAAGTTAAAGAGAAGTGTTGTAATATGTGTATAAAAGAAGTAATATGTGACTAATATCGCTGTGAAGGAGAAAAGCGTTGAAATCAGATAGAGACGGAGAAATATAGTTTTCATTATTTTGGTATAGAGGCGGCCATGGATTAAACTGGGATCAACCGGAGGTGTAGAATATGTTAAAATAATTTCATCAGGCGCTGGAAGCTGGACAAGGATTTTGCATAAATTCTGAAAAGAAGGTTTCATTCTCCGTAGACTTCTTTCGGTGTTCTAACGTTGAAACACCTAGGTGTTTTAAAATTGCAAATTTTGAAACACCTGAACGTTTTTGAAACACACGGGTGTTTCGCTTTGGGCACGATCGCTCGGGGAGAATTTGAAACACCCAAGTGTTTCAAAACAGGGGGCCTTTTTCACTCAGTGTTGTTCGCGAAGCGAGAGGATCGGCCACATGGATCGTAAAATGCATGCATCCGTGTTGATCATGCCGCATCGTTCATGAAGCGAGAGCGTCGGCCACATTGATCGTAAAATGCGTGCATCCGTATTGATCATGCCGAATCGTTCACGAAGCGTTAGATTCGGAATTGATCATAGGGCATCGGCCACATCGATCGTAAAATGCTTGCATCCTTGTCAATCATGCCGCAGCGTTCGCGAATCGTGAACATTGGAATCGATCATTGGGCATTGGCCATATCGATCGTAAAATGCGTGCATCCATGTCAATCATGCCGCATCGTTTGCGAAGCAAGAGCGTCGGCCACATGGATTGTAAAATGCGTGCATCCATGTTGATATTGCCGCATCGTTTGTGAAGTGAGAGCGTCGGTCACATTGATCGTAAAATGAGTGCATCCATGATAATCATGCCGCATCATTTGCGAATCATGAATGTCGGAATTGATAATGGGCA